AAATAGAATGATCAGAATCGTGTTACTTTGTTTTGCTGTAGAGCATCCCCAAGATGTTGCGCTCCTTGTGGACCGATTTGATTAGACGAGAGGTCAAGTGCAGTGAGTGTCTGTGAAACACAGTAAGTGAATAGTTGAGTGGCAAATAGAACGATGAGAATCGTGTTACTTTGTTTTGCCGTAGCGCATTCGCAAGATATAACGTTCTTTCTGGGCCGATTTCATTATACTTGAGGTTAAGTGTGGTGAATATCTGTAAGAATGATTAAGAGGTAGATTATCGAGAGATAGGGTGAGTGTGGGTGGATGGATGTGGGTGTGGGTATAAGTGTGTGTATCATACTCATCCTACACCCACATCCAAATCCAAATCTACTCACACATCCTAACCCGGATCCACACACTCAAGAATTTTCAACTGCTCAAAGCTTCACATGAGATTGTCAATGATTCCTAATTGAACCGATTTTGAAGAAAAACGTCTCCCGGCCTTTCTGCTATAATATCGTCTACAACAACTTCTACAATGTAGGAGAGATAAATATTCTAGTTGTTTAGAACTTCAAAGATGCTGCAAATTTCCGTTACATAACGAATTAAACTAACGTAAACCACATCCCCACCTTAATGATAGTTATCTTGGAAATAGTATATGTATTGTCAAAAAGAACAATTCGCTAAGATAATGAATATGTGTCTTCATTGTAAAACCAAGAATTACCTGATACCGGTGATACGTATCTGTGATGTGGTTAAGTCTTGTACAGACGTTTTGGCATGACAAAAAAATTGTTTTTTCGTCAAGATAGTCGAGAATCCGGTAGACCATCTCGATCGGTATTGTATGAAGCGACGAAGCCATCTTGCTGAAGATTAATGCTGTTTCTTGCAAAATGTTTGCTTTATGATGGCTTGTTATTTTACGAATGTTCTTTTACCAATAACGTGCCACAAAATTTCTTGTGTTTATATTAAAAGTGCCAACGTGAATAGAAATGGTAAAAGAAACAGTCCTCATAAAAACAACTACGCACTATTATTTTTTCTTCCAATTCTATGCGAAGCATTATATGGTTTGCGTGTTGATTTTTCATTTTTCTTCACTACCTACACTGTAAGAAAACAGTAGAATATGAAACCCTTAAAGGGTTTTTGAGAGTGCAACGAATACTCTGGTAAAAAAAAGATTACAAAAATCAGCTTAAAATCAATTATAATGACACTATTAGAACCTAATATTAATCAGATTTTCCAGTATAAAATATCTAGATTAGTTGTGATTTTGATTACTTTTTAGCGACCATAGTTGATTAAAATGCTTTAATCAATTTTAATCGATACCACAAGATTTAATGGATTATAATCGCTAAAAAATAATCAAAATTACAAATTATCTTGATATTTTATACTGGAAAATCTGATTAAAATCAGGTTATAGTAGTGCGATAATAATTGATTTTAATCTGATTTTTGTAATCTATTTTTTTACATGGATAATATATCCTTCAAACTGTATCGCAAAATTTCCAAAACCCGATCAAAAACCCTTCATAACGATTTTTGATAAATTCTATTATAATACAAAAACTTTCGAAAGGGTTTTTGGTAAGTTATATAAACTTATTTTATTGTCAAGAAAGGCTTTTTCAATGGTTCTAGATAGGACATTATCACATCATCAACCCTAAAAAGGTATATTTTACGAGGTATGAATGTGGGTGTGAGTATAGCTGTAGTATGATACCCATACCCACCCCTGGTTACATATATTAGTTGAAAAATGAGATTTAACCTAAAATTATATTACAAAAGTACAAAGTGAGTTTTTGCACTTTTAAAATTCAAGAGAAGAAATTTGCGTCTTAATTCAAATATAAGTTGGTAGATCGAAACTCTCAATTTAGTAATAACAGAAAATAGCTTTATTCTATTCAGTAGAGGGTCAAGTGAGTCGAAGTGGCGAACGTTACTTGTTGATGACGATGGCGACGATGATGTGGATAAAAGTTTGTCTTCTCTAGACTTGTAGTTTGCATAAGCTCCATCTTCCTCATTAAAAATATTCAACATTGATCATTTTAAATGTGGAAAGAATGTTAAGTTTGACTTTATAAGGTAAATCAAACAATGAGATTATTTTTTCTGACCGCTAATAACACTAGTCGACTCCTAAAGATTAACCTTTTCGGGACGGATGGTTCACCGTATATACCACAGTCTATTTCTTAACAAAAACATGTTATGTATTGACGATGAGTAGTAGTTGTGTATATGTCAGAATACGCTTATAGTAGTGATATATATCTGATGTGACTTGCATAATTAAGGCCTATTTTCCTCCTTTTGTTCTCTGCACTTAACTATTATGCTGCACCTTTCTGATTTATTCTTTTGCATACACACGTGAGTATGATGTTGTTACTTGGTCCGATCATATATACAGCATATTAGTAAATTTCAATAAAAAACAGAATCATTTGATTCTTTAAAAATGTGTTTTTGTTTATTTTTTCAAAAAAATAATCCTATCCTGAAAGGCTTAAAAAGCTATATGGAAACAAAACTATCAACGATTTCCAAAAAAGAACGGCGATTTTTGAGTGATTGAACATGTGATTATTAGGTGCTATCGAATAGATGAATGTGAAAGGGTAAAATTCTTAAACTTACAAAAAATACAAAGCAACATACCATAGATCTAATCCATTTTTCAAACTCAGAATCTAACGAAAGATCCTGGATTGCGGAAGTCCGATTCTAGTTCAAGTTTCCAAAGACCACAATATTTTTTTCAACACTAATGAATTTGATATCATTGTATTTTCCCCTACTTTGCGTATTCAATGGTGAAAGCTGCAGATCGATAGCTGCTTCCATGTTCGAGATATTCAAAAAACGTTCGTGTTCATTATATTTTGCCGTAGATAGTAATTTTGTTCAATGTTGTATTAGACTTAAATTTTATTAAAGTGAATCATAATCAAATTAGGAAGCCATCCGATGAGTCGCTGGAGAAAGGACGAACCCGGTCCTGGCAGGATGTCACATCCACACCCGTCAAGATCTTGCATCTGAATGGGATTAATCTAATTGCGCAAATGAACAACAATATATGAATTACGATACCTTCTTCTTATCGAAAATCGTTTGAAACAAAGATTATAATATCTTTGTGTTAGAGTCGTTTCATGTATACTCGTTCAAATCAAATCAAATTGATGTCACAGATCATTTTTAATAATAAAAATATTGTCGACGTAGTCACATAGAGTCTGAGGAGTTCAAGAATGTCTTTCTCTTCTTTTGTTTGATTCTTATCTAAAGTTCTTGAAAACGGAATGAATTCTCTGTAAATATGTTCAAATATATGACGCTTTGAAAGCAAAACCCTAATACAAATTGATTTGAATAACTTTTGCATTGATTTGTTTCCATACAAATTTGCAGAAAAATCAACTTGTCTTAGGCAACAAATGCAATGAGGATATCGAGAACGATCATAGTGTAATGTCTAAAATAATCAACCACCAAAATGCGACATCTATTTCGTGTTTTCACGACATTCGTGATAAACGCGCTCTCATATTTAATTTCAATTTTTTCCATAGTGATACTTTAGTAAACACGGCGATGAGTATATCAGAATGAACCCAGAAATTGAGTTTTATCGCAACCAATAAATACCAAGCTTCTTATTTTCCGTCTCTATGATACCGATAGCAAGACTAATTCCTTCATTATCAACAACAATATCACTCGATGACTCAATAAACAGAAAGAAGAATCCATAGAAGAAATGAAAGTGCACACAAAACATTCATATGCGCGTGCACAATGACAAAGTTACAGACGAAGAATATTTATTTCGCTAGACACGGCGAACGAATCGATTTTATTGACAAAAAGTGGAAAGAAACGACAAAATGGCATTTGAATCCTCCGTTATCATCATACGGTCTCGAACAAGCACATGAACTCGGTCTATACGTCGCCAAAATTCAGCCACGAATAACTCATATATATGCATCACCCTTTTTACGTACAATTCAAACTGCACTGCAAATAGCCATAGAGCTGAATAAGAATGTTTCATCACCTCATGAACTTACAAAAATTCGAGTGGAACTAGGGTACGGTGAATATTTCCTTTACGACGATATATCGGATGAAAATTACATCTATCAACCCTTTGATCAACTATCTGAAACCTCTCAAAACGCTGATTATTTTGATTACAATTACGATAGCGTCTACAAATCTAATTACTATTCACAAGCGAGACAAGAGACTCGTCAGCAACTGCGTGATCGTTTGACACAAGTCCTACGATGTACGCTAGATGCTCACACAGTTGACTGTAATATTTTAATTGTTACTCATGCAGCAACATTGATCGAAGGTGTCAGAGCACTATTGACAGTCAGTAAAGAACGAAGTCAGGAGGTGGTAACGAAAGAAGAAATCACAATCACAACGAACCAAGAGAAAAATAATCTTTCTGCATGGAATATGTTTCCAATTCGAGCAGGAGTCTGCAGCTTAACCCATTTGGAATTGCTGGATGACAACTGGACTGTGTCGAAGAATGGACTCACTTCGTATTTATCAAAAGGCGAACAAAACTTTTGGATGTTTCCTGATGATGCACCATTATATGAAAAAATATAACTTTTCTTTTAAAATCGAAACTATAATCCATATTGTAAACTTTGATCGGCGAAAAAATAAACAATGCTTACAAGGAAGGGTCCCTCAACTATCCAATCGCTTTTGAGTTGATAATTTAGCCAAAGATAGGATACCACAAGACTAGGATAATGCTATCAGGATTTGATCCGCTAGACCATTGTAACCGAGTTCTGGACTTTTTACTGCATTTTTGGTCATTTTTCCAGTACTGAGCAAAAAATAAAATAGAGCGGTTTTGACCTGAAATGTTTCCGATAGAGAGATTCACTTACCGTTAGAAGATCTCACAATTTTTAGCCGAATAAAGTATTCATTTGTCGAGATTTTGAATTTTCAAGTAAACCGAGATTTTACGTCTTGTCCGCGATACGCCCTAATTGTTTAATAATCCAATATCTCACCAAAGGAGCACGCTTTTTCGGCTGAAATTTTCGGGATATTCTAATTATGACTGAATCTTTCTGTGGGAACATTTCAAATCAAAATCCTTTTACTTTATTTTTTGCTCAATATCGAAAAAATAATTAAAAGTGCAGTAAAAAGCCCAGAACTCGCCTACAAAGGCCTAGCAGATCAAATCCTGTTAGAATTATCTTGGTCTTGTGGGTGTGGGGTGAGTGTAGGCGTGGGTGGGTGAGTGTGAATGGGTGTGGCTGGTGTTCATTCTTTAACGTGATCTACGTCCACACCACACCCACCCCGACACATCGTCAAAATCTCGGAATATTTTCATAATAAAGAGAGAGCATGACTGTATCTTTTCTTCCATTACTCACGGTCATATCCACATTCACAGTCAAAGGCCTACAAAATACATAAGATCATTTATTATATAAATGCGCTATTTATATTCAAACTCAACAATATTTCCAAAGACAAAGTGCCCATCGTGTTATCACTAATGGAAGATGGTTTAGTCTTTCTGCCAAAATATAAAATATTCCATTTTTGAATAAATTCCTGGTAGAAGTTTCTTTTTTTTATGTAAATCATCATGAACTTCTGAATAGCTTCTTTTTGAACTATTGAAAGCTATCTATTCTCTATTATAGAATTTACTATCCGTGACATAAGACATTCGCCATGCATCACTTCGTTATTGTCCAGCCTTTGAGCAACATCATTGATTTTCTTTTTGTTTTTTCATGCCATGTTTCGATTTTTCGTTTGTAAACAGAGTACAGCGACTCCAAAGACTACCCGGACCGGGAACGAATTCGTTAAACTATCAGACAGATAGGGATTTCTTTTTCAAAAAATTTGAATTATTTAATAATTGACATTAAAGACACTTGATGTTTATTGAAAAAGCTTATTGTTCAAACGTACATGAGCGAATAAAATAATCAGAAAACTTTACAAAATAATGTGTTCAAGATTAGGGCACGGCGGTTCTAAAAACAAATCGAACCGAAACCACGGTTCCGATTCCGGCTCCATTGTTTTTGGAACCGTCGTACCCTACTTGTAAATTGTTTAAAAAAAGACTATGAATCCAAACAATAGAAAAAGAGTTCACGTTGTGTTTCATCTCCACCTTTATTGTCCCCGTTATTATTTGGTTGAATATCTGTGAGCATTGCAGCTACGGTACCTGCTTGTACTGAACTATTATCTGTAAGTGTAATGGAAGGCGGTGAAACTTCATCAGCAGCATTCAATACACGACAATACGTTGTTGCTACATCGCTTTTCTTGCTATTATCTAGGAAAAAAATAAAAATTATTCTCTTTTCAAATTTTCAAACAAAAATTGCGTAACAAATTAAAACAAACTTAAATAACATAAAAATAGCTTTTGCTCTATTGGTCTGTTTAGTACGGCTCGTTCCAAATTAAAGATAAACAGAATCTAAAAAAAAGCCATTTTTCTATTCTTCTTGATGTTCATGCGGAATGCAAGTGTTTTTTATGTTTTAGCAGTATAAATGAAATCAGTGAGATTTTGTTTTACTCTATAATATTCACTTCAACTTCTTCAGTGGTGATCATGTCCACTCTCTGTTCACTTAAGTAATGATAGAAGAATTTCTTTTAGTGCCTTTTTTATTATCTAATTTTTAAAATTTTTCCTTTTAAAATACATGAATAAAAAAAATTACAATTGTTATTCATACACAGTCACCATAAATTAGTTGTAAATATATGATGTCTAGTATTGACTATATGAATTAATTTTTAGGTTTTACGCCAAACAACATGTTAGTATAGGCAAAAAGAAACTCGAATTCATTATTATAGAATGGTGTACAGCCTTAATCTACCAACATTCTACCCGAAAAGTTAGTTGTCCTACCTATAACGTCATTTGTTTTAATGTCCATAACAGCCAATGAGTTAGAATATAAAATGTAAGTAGTAATGATTTCGATTATTTAATCTTGGTTTTGTCACGTCCTCAAATGTTGTTTTTAACAAAAAATAAATATTGCGGCTCACTTCTGTCTTACGGATTATATGCGTAGAAGAAAAGTGTGTTTTTTCCTTTAATGTACTCAGCAAGTTGGAGAAAATATTTCAGTTTTGTTTGGTCAAAATACTTACGACGAGGGTCTGGGTGAGGGCGGGTGTAGATGTGGATATGTGAGGTGGGTGT